TATATGGACGTGCAACTTATGTACGTACAAAATTCGCCGTCCTATAGAATCCTATATAGATGTACAACTCGCCGTCCTATAGAATCCTATATGGACGTGCAACTAATGTACGAATAAAACTCGTCGTCTTATAGAATCCTATATGGACGTGCAACTTATGTACGTACAAAATTCGCCGTCCTATAGAATCCTATATAGATGTACAACTCGCCGTCCGTCCTATACAATGGGCGTCAGTTTTTAACTATCACAGATCCATCATCTTATAAAAATTGGACGTGTAGACAGTTTTTGTTAATAGGGTCAATCAAGTGAATTGGAATAATGGTTGCGGACAATTACCCACAACACTTTGAACACATCTTAAAGAGAGAAGTAAGTGAATGGGGAAATGTTTATTTCAGTACACATTATGATGAGTCCAAGCTTTTCAACGAAATGAAAAACAATCCTTTCACAGAACCATGAGTGTGAAATCGAACTTACTAATGCCACATATTTTAAGACGAAGAGAATAATTGAATACATTAACGTAAGTTTTTTTGGATAGACTATGTTGTATATATATTGACGTTCTATTTATCTTTTTCTTAAACATCTAGGCCTAGACCGGCATATACTCCACTTTCATCATCATCACAAACTGACGAAGAATTGGTACCTTTAAAACAGTCTTTGAAGAATAAATCCCAATATGCATTATATGAAAACAAAGTAGGGTCTGTATTGGTCAATATCTTATATTGTTTGATATTGTGTGCAAATTAAATCCCTTTACAATAGATTTAATATAATTAAAATACATACTCTAGGAATTCAGCGATAAGATCAAGTACAAAATGATGTCGCTGATGACGAACAATCTGTCTTTATTTTTGCTGAGAATTTGACAACCGGAGAAAACGGTACGAAGATTAGCAATAATCTTTCCACTAAGTGACTGTAAGTTATTGTATATGGTATGACAACTGCAAATTTAAAATCCAGAATAGCAAAAGAAGTTTCAAATTGTCTAAGCATTTCATGTTTTATTATGTCTATAGACAGTATTGAGATGTCAATATCAAATCTTATCCCCTCGAAATATCTATCTATTTTTAATAAATATATATAAAAGTTCAGAACCATTGATGTTTCTTCGATATATTTGTTAGTATGCTGGTATCGAGCGGGATATAATTACTTTTTTGAGTGATTTTATCCTGGTATCTACTATCGAGCAACATGTACGTATATTACTAAAAATATGCTAAATTGAATGTCATTAGGTACTTGTGACAGAACCTGTGATCGATATCCAGTATATTCTATTAATGTTATCAAGAAGTATTATCAAACCCAATTTGCCAATGCTATCTAATTGAAATTCTTTTATCCTTGTCCCTTGTCTTAATGTCCTTATATAAAATAAGATTCTAGGAAAAAAAATTCATTACCTCATGGTATTTACTGTATATATAAATAATATGTATACATATACAGTATGATGCAAAAAAATAATAATTATATTTTTTGTTTATAACTTAATAAATAGTTAATAAAAATTTCTAACCAACTTGATATTTTTTTTGGTTAATATATGTATATTTTACTCCAAATCAGGTTGCATTATTAATCTTATTTGCTAGAAAACATTTATACATTTGTATTAGAAATACTATGATAAAGCTAAACTTTCTATTGCTATGTAGCATGCCAGTCTTTTTTTTTGGTTAATATATATAATACTTTTTTAAATAATATAATTTTATATAAAAAAAATTTATAAAAATTTATTTATTTTTTCTTAGATAAACATTATTTCTTTATTTAATTTGTATAGAATTAAGTATATATTGTAAAAGAAATAATATCTCTCACATGTAACAATACAAATTAAATACTAGCTTGTCCATAGTAACAAAATTTATAAATTTTTTTTACTTTAATATATACAATTATATTAATATAAAAATTATATTTATATTTATTTTTTTTTTTTATAATCAAACAAATATTTATTGTATTTATTTAATTATTAGAATTAAAAATATATTAGTACAAAACTTTTATATATAAATTAAGTTAATACTTGAATATCTATTTTTAATTACCAATCTCTAAGTACGATCTTGAAGATAAATAAAGTTACTTACTTATCTCTTTTATTTTTAAGAGAATTTGAGTTTATTGCTTACAGTTTATTACTACAATTTATTTTGGCAAGATTTTGATTACATTATATTTTTAATTACCTAATTTTTTTCTTTATTTTATTCTATAAGATTTATATAAAAATCTTTAAGGCCTTAATACTATACATGTGGCATAAATTATTTTGCTGTTAACTCAATTTCCAAAATCCTCAAAAATTTATATGTGTTAATAGTGACTCAATTAATTGTGTCAAATAATTGCGTCAATTGTGTCAAGGATCTACAAATTTCAGCAACATGTATACTTAATATCTTCAGTTACTAAGTTTGTATCTATTAATATTGTTATTGTCTCTTTTTCTTTTTTCTGTAATTTGAATTTGTTTTTAAACTTGAGAGCTTTTCTTAATATCTTCAAGTTAAAGTTTATATCTTTTTCTTTTTCTTTGTTTTATAGATTTTTTTAAATCTTACATTTTAGATTTGCCAATAGAACTTTTTACTTCAGATCTGTAATATTTTGTTTGGAATTTTTCAGACTGTTATTTATGTATCTTAAGTATGAAATATATATATATAAGTCTATTTTAAGGTTTTTTTTTTTGTCCACAGTTTTATACTAATGTTTATTATTTCTTTTACTAAGAATAATTTTTTCATTTTCTATCTTTTCATTATCCTGTAAATTGATGTTAGGTTTTATTTTACTTTATTCTTATCTTTTTTGGTATGCTTTAAATTTTAAAATATGCACAACTTATCTAAAATATTTTTCTATATCTTGTTTTTTTTTTTAAGTTTATTACAAGTTGTTAAATAATTTACTGTTTTCTTATATTCCAAACAAAGACATATTTGGTATTTGCTAATGGCTCTTAAATATTATATTTAATTAAATTATCCAATATTGACAATTTGTTATATATGAGCTTAATTTTGAATGTTTTTTTTTTATTTACTTAAATAAGATAGTTAATGAGTCCTTGCTATTATTGTAAAGTTAAAAATATTTTCAATTAATTTTGTTATAGTTTTCTATCTTCTTTTTTTATTGTTATTAAATTCTGTTAAAAAAAATATCTATTGTATTAGAATCTTTTTTTTTAATAAATGCTTTAATTAAGATGTCTATGAAAATATTATTCCATTCTAGTACAGTAATTGAAATTATTGTTAACAATAGTTTCTATTTGATTTCTAATTCTTTTTTTGCTACTTTGATTAACTAATTTGCTTAATTATTTAGAGTGTTTTTACTGTAAGCTTTGACTTTGATAAGTTTTAATTGAATTCTTTTTCTTGTAATTATATTTATTAATCTTAACTATAGCTATCAATTTGATATTTTTATTTGTCTTCTTGATATTTCTTTGGAATAAAGTTTGTTTGACTTTATAAAGATATTAATATAGTTAATACTATCTGTTTCAATTTTCAACCCTTCTATTGTTTAATATAGTTATCACTGTTAAAAATATTGTTACTAGTTTCACTTTTGTTGGATAGAGCCAATTACTAACTTCTGCTTGAAATGTTTTCCTAGATTTGATCCTTCTGTTTGAAGTCATGCTGCTCTTATTTTTATGATTTAATTTGATATTTTGTTTATAATTCTATCAATATAGAATTAATAAGTATTCTTATAGTTTTTATTTATATTAAGTCTATATTCTGAGTATAATTATATTTAATATTCTTCTGACTCTATATTGTTTTGAATTATTTATATATCATAATCTTTTATTTCAATATACTGAAGTTTGGATATGTTTATATTGTTAAGATAGAGTTTCTTTAGTTTTACTTTGACATTCAATTTATATTATTAATTCTTTACTTTTTCTATATTTGGCCATCTTGTTTATCCAGTTAAAAGTAAGTATAGGATTTTTATTAACTTGTTTTTGATTAACTTTAACCTTTGTGAATTTGATTGTACTTAGATCTTTTCTTGCTCCAATATAAAAGTATTCTGTATTCTGATTATTTGTTACTTCATTAAGAAATTTTTTTGATGAAAATCTCTAGAGTTTTCTATCCTAAAAAAAAAATTTTAATATAGAAATTTTTAAAATAATAATCTTCAAAAATTTTTGAAGTGATAATAATTATATTAAAATAAATATTTATTTAATAAATATTTATTACTTTTACCAAATCTTGAAATTATATGAACTAAATTATCTATTGCTCTTATATCTATTAGATTATATATATTTGTTAATTTTAGATATGTACATTCATATATATATTGTTATAGTGTGATACGGCGAGTCTGTCGCTTCAATCTGGCCTACGCCGTGTAACGGTCGTAATTCGTCTTCCTTTGAAATAGGCGTGTATGTTTTTGGTCGAGTCTATGTTGTGGAT